GAGGAGGGGGACGGCGGCGACGAGGACGGCGAGGAGTCGGAGGGCGAGGACGTGGACGAGCGCCCCGAGGTGGATTCCAGGCCGGGGGAGCAGGTTTTCGGCACCTTTGAGATCAAGCAGCAGCCGCCGCCGCCGCCTCCGCCGGACCCGGCGCTGGAGGAGCTCTTCTCGGACGTGGACCCGTCCTACTACGAGCTGGACACGGTGCTGACGGGCATGCAGAGCGCCCCCAAGATGGGACCTTACGACCTGCTGGAGAGCCTCTCCTCCCACGGGCCGCAGCCGCTCAGCCCCGGCGCCAGCTGCCGGTCGGACCTCAACGAACTGGACCACATCATGGAGATTATCGTGGGCTCCTGAAGCTCGGCGCCGCCGCCGCGTACTTCTTGAATGTGCTTTTGTTACGCAGACAGATTGTGGGAGGGGCAAAGTGGGAAATGATCTGCGAGCCAAAAAAACATTTTTCGGATCGGCAGCTCCCGTTGGGACTTTGTTGTTTGTTTGTTTGTTTTTTTGTTCTTTTCATTCGTACAGTATATTCCAAACACGGAGGTCTCGTTTCACAAGTAGGCTTTGAAAGGGGTGGAACATTTCCAGCAAATTTCCGCACACTTTAGCTGAATGAAGTTAAACGGGGGCAACATTTTCCAGACTGGAAACTTTCCGTGGAAATTGAGGGGAATTTCACGCAAAGTTCAAACGGAAGCACCGATCCCATCAGCGGACCTCCATGCAAATTCGATGGCTCCTCTTGCCCACCTGTGAGGGCATCGCAGGGCCTGAATTGCCGAGCTGTGGCGTCGCAGAAGTTGAATTTTCCACATGGAAGAAATATTCCAATGACAGCTCGTAACTCTTAAAAACTCGTAAAATTTGGGAGCCAAGGTACCGCTGTACTTTTATGAAATCAGATCAAGTCTGGATTAGAATGGACCCGCGCTCACGTAGCCGATTTTTGGATGTATGACGGACAAAACCGGTCACTGAATCATCATCTATTGATGGAGTGGGGGGAGGGGGTGTTCCGTTGAATCCGTTTCAACTGTTGTTAAACAATACCCAATTCAAACCAAAAATGGTTTCATCCACAGCAAGCCGAGAGGAAACCCGATGGCATCGCCCATTGCGGAATGAATTTCAGCGCTCGGATAACCCATCCTAAAAAAAAATCTTGTCAATTCCTCCTGAATTTCCATGGAAGCTTTTCAAAGTCTTTCCCATTCCCGGAAATCGTGCAAGTCCATTTGCAACAGTCTGTTTTCTTCCATTGTGTGTTTTTTTTTTTTGTTTGTTTTTTTTCCCCGTGTTTACGTCCGGTGCGCAAGCTCGTGCTCGTCGTCCTATTTATTGGAGTTCTTCACACTACAGCGGCGATCCAGAACAAACATCCAAATCGATGACGTCATGCATATTTTCTTAAAGAATTTTCTTAAAGATTTGCGCAATTGTGAATGGAATATGTATATGTACTTATGTATATAGAAATATATTTTTTTGCATTATTACAGTCGGGAGGGGGGGGGGAATTTTTGCAAGTATCATTTGATAATTCCTTTTTTTGGGGGGGGGGGGTGCATAACA